GAATGTGTGACATGCCCAGGGTCACTTACTTGGCCACAAATTGTACATTCCCCAGAATGCATCACCTAATATATTGGCAGTCTTTCCCCCCAACACTTTCTCATTTCCCCCCAACCATCTCATAGCTGGGAGATGGAAATAATTTTTAAAGCAGCATTTAAATCTGGACTATTTTTTAAAAAATAAGGTCCAAAACACACTGCAGAAATAAATGCTAGGGAACATGGGAGCTGTAGTTTGTTGTGTTTATAAGTGACAGTTTTCCTGCTAAGTACCTGCATGTCAAAAGCATTTGAATTAAAATTACCATATTGAAATCAAATCTGATGTGTTTTTTTAATTTTTATTTGGTGTGCGTTGGAAGAGGGGTGGTCTTATACAGCGAGTATATCCCAAACTCTATATTTTAACTGGAAAAGTTGGGGGTCGTCTTATACGCCCAGTCATCTTATACACTGGAAAATATGGCAGAATTTTTACATTTCTTTCTTTTGTTACTTCCCCCTCCCTTTTGTTTTCCCTCTTGCCTACTTCATATTATTCTTGGGAACAGGACCTGCCTAGAAGAGCGTATGTACATTAATGTCATTTTATGAATAACATCATAATGATTATACCAATTCATTCCTACTATGAACAGGAGCATGCTGTTAGATTGCTCTTCTAATTGCTTTCGGCAAAACAAGATGTGAAAGCTCATGGTGAAAAAGTCTTGTACATGGAGCAGATTCCCAGAGTCCTCCGCTGCAAACTTCTGGAACGTGACAATTACTATGGCCCAGCAGCAATTACCATTTAGCAAAAAAGGACAGTCCATGCTACGTGCACATTGTTGCTTCTGCATATTAATATGTGTGCTGAATGCCTGATTCAGAAACCTGTAAAAGTTTAAGTAGTTTGAAGTAAACACTGCTGCTCCATGCCGTAATAAATCTTTTCAAATCACTGTCATGGCTAACTGTGAATGTTGTTTACTGGGCATGCTGAGGAATCTTTAAAACAAGCCTTCAGTCTGACCCATTTTCATTTCCTTTTGATTGCTGATTTTTGACAAAAACAGAAAGAGCGCTCCATGCTGCTCCGTGACCCCCTGTTGTTCCTCCAGTTGAATTTCTAAAGCAATTGGCAACCGTATGGCAAAAAGAAGGGTTACATGGAAACCTCTAGTATCCCTTGTAAGTAGACTTGAAGAAGTGTTCTCACCTCATCACTGCCTTGAGTTGGGAAGGAGCCAAATTACTCACCATTATATTGAGCATCAGAGAGCAAAGGGTAGCCATCAATCTTCCCAGAGCAAGTCTATTCAGCTAGCCTTTGAGGCTGGTGCCAGCCTCAAAATTGTATCTTAAAGTTCCAGCCACATTTCTTTCAGTCTTTCTTTTATTCTCTCTCTCTCTCACACACACAGAGAGAACTTACACTCTCATAGTTTCAACAGCGATAACAAAATCCCCCCATTTGCATATGAGAGGACAGATTTCATTTTTGGTTCGCAATTTGACATTGATCATGCCTCTTCAATGAGACTCATTCTTGGTGTGCTCACGATATAAAGATTTACTCCCACTGCTACCCCAGAACAAGATTCAGAAGTGGAGCTGTGTGGGGAGGGGAAATCAACAAGAAAACACATACTATTTAGTTGTATAGGAGAATGTAACACGTTATTCCAAAACACTTGATACAGACTTTTGTCTCTGCATAGAGACCCTGTGAGTTTTAAGCAAATGGGGCCCAGTAATCTATGTGGTCTTTTTATACCCTTCCCCTAAGGCAGATTTGTGTTTTATCCTTGTGGCATGATGACTGCTGCAGTGATTTCAAACTGCACTACTGCTGAATTGTGTGGTAAACTAGTTACATGAAGTAATGCACACTTTATTTTTTTTTAATCCAAGCAAGAGAATAATTTGTCTTTCCCCCCTCACCCATATCTTACTACCACCCACTGGTATTCTGAACAGCTTTCTCACTTCTTTCTTCCCTCTTTCTTGACTGCTTCAAAGACAAGTGGAACAGAGGGAGGCATGAAGAGAGGTTTTCATCTTTACTAGTGCCACCAGTAGCCCTACAGAAAACTATATATAA